CAACAAAAAGCAGCTGTTAGCGCTGTGCCCATTGCTTTGCTACTAGCTCGATATTGAAGGGAAAAATGTAAAATCTGTTGAGGAAGTACGACTGACGGACATAATAGAGATTTAACACTTTTTTTTCTGAAACAGACATCACATTTGTCATCTCATTCCCCTTAACGATTAGGAAGGTGTAGGGCAAAGGGTTCCATATTGCCCAATGTCTTCACGACCAGCATTGAGATGATATTCCGCAAAAAGAACTAAAAAGGTGCAAGTATGCAGAACTAAAAATAGCAAACAACTAAACAGCTTCTCGAACGACCATACTTCTCAATGCGAACAGCTAAAAAGCGAAATATACTACAGGAGTCTTGTGCACGAAATAAGGAAATGAAGAGCGCATCAAAAAGGTGATGCAAAATGTCGTATATCCGTTACAAACTTGTAGGTAGATGGCATTTAACTGAAAGTTCGCAGTTATGCCATTTTTGGCCACGAAGTAATTATATGCAGCAATTCTCAGCTAGGGATTACACATCGAAGGATTACCGGTTGACGCAAACTTTACAGCATCATTAACATCCTCAGAGCGTCGTACAGTTTGGTAAGACATGCAGCTCAGCATGACATTATTACATCTGAGATATGGATGTCGTTGCGTCCGACTAAAAAAACTATCGTCGAATGCAAAAAACGATTACATGTGCAAACTTGCAGCCCTGATAATTTGTTATGCGCGTGTACACCCATGGGTTTGGGAAGGAAATTCAAATTTTTCATGCTTTATTTCGTAACCGTTTGCAGGATCACAAAGCTGACTACGAATCAGAAGAGGTAAACAGTCTTAATGTTGTTATTTTTAAGTAACCGAATCTAAATTACCAGTGTCACATACAATGACATCGAAAAGAGATGCATTTCCGGTTTTCGTCAAGATTCCATACCTTTGAGTTTGAGCTTCATAGAAATTATTTGCTTGAATTATCTTATCAGGCAAAAACACAAACAGTGCAAGAATGCGCCGATCGTAGCTCCTACAGCAGATGCGCAGGAAAAAGTAAGAAGAAACTAAGAGACAGAATTGGAGCCCTCTTCTTTCGGTGTTCCCACTACGAATGTAACGAGAAACCTTGGATTTGGAATTTGTAGTCGGTATTTTTCCATTCATTTACCTTTTCGGTCGAATCACCTGATGGAGTTGTGCTCGTTTGTTAAGCTCATACGTAAGTAGAAGTTAGCAGGCAGCTATGTTCTCTATTCGGTGTGCGTAGATTATTCCCATGACAACACCATTTTGTCACCACTTGAAGTATTCGCACAGGCTGTCTCAACTCACTTCGTTTTCTAGTAGTTTCAGCTTGAAATTACTAAATTCCAGGCACCGGGTAAATTTGGAAATCGCACCGGGTAAATTTGGAAATCGTGGCTTAATTTCTTTTTTGCTCTTGCGATCCTATTATTTTCGCCGAATTAAGCTCAAATAAACGACTTAGCGACTTAATGGACCGAAACATTGCTGCTCATCTAATTATGCATTTTTGCATATGTGCAAATGTAGAAACGCATATTGTGATCATCCTAACGTGCGTGTATGTTTGTGCGTGTGCGTGTGCATGTGGGCGTGCGTCTGTCCGGATATTTCAACTCGGCAACCAAGCAAGCTTCGGCGCTAAGATTTTACGAGTGTGTCCTCCAACCATCTCCGAACCGTGGTACCAACCTTCACGCACGTCTGGGCGCCACGAGAGAGTTTTGGCGGAAAATCACTAACTCGGGAACCACAAAAGCTATAAACCTGAGATTCTGAGGGAACGTTCCTCGTCCACGTAGAGCTTAAAAATTCCAAATTCAGCCCGCAGGTGTGCGTAGTTCCCAGTACAGCCTTGTGAAAGCTTTTGGGGGAAAAATTGGTAATTTGGGGACCGAAAAGGCTGGAAAACTGAAATTTCAGCGGAATGTTCCCCGTACAAGCACCACGTTGTTGCAAAATTAACTTCCTGAACTTCGAGAATCAATATTTCTAGCTACTGGGATCCTAAGCAGTCCTTACTACAGCACGAAATACTGCAAAAATGCATGATCGGACAAGCCCGCCTGGTGCGCTTCGCCAATGATTTTTATGTACAACACTATAAGGACGC